TTACACAAACGAATTAATTTCTGATCTTTTGGTTGATCATGATTCCACCATAATGGTTTAAACTGGCGCCTTGAGCATTGGCATTATATCATTAACCAGCTCTGTTTTACCTTAGGCAAAATAAAGCCAGATGAAAAAAGTCACAGTAGATTTCTTGCACTTTGCATTCTTTGCAACTTTGGCCTGGTTTTGGACAGTTAAGGTACAATCTCAGTTCGCCCGAGTGTTTAGATCTTTCGAATGTCAGACGGAATTTGTCACAACAGCCTGCAGAATCGTCTTTTTTTGACAAAGGGTGTAGCCGTCGAAAATTTCCACTTTTATACTTAAATGAGTTTCTTATGTTTACTTTTCCACTTAGTTCTCTTGCTCTACACTGCCTTGTTAATATTGTGTAATTAAGTAGCCATATATCAGTTGTGTACCATGCAGCTGCGTACGTTCCAGATTGACTAAGATGCTTTTTTTTTTTTGACAGCGGATTTTTGTTTTTCCTCGACCTATCCTTGACACTCTTCGCTCATTTTATTTACCAGAGTTGAGTATACTTACAACCTCGTGAGAGCCAATGGCGGAATTATGGGGCCAAACTGAATGAGTTTCTTGCATTACACTATGAATTGGAACGTGTTCAAACATGCTGAATTTGGTACTTTTGATGAATTGTTGGGATACGGGTTGTTTCCTAGGTCGGCGAGAGCTGAATCGTTGTGCTATCGAGGGAAAAACTCCATTATTGAAAAATTATACACGTTTGAACAGATTTATAAATTGAAGTACATCTTTCCACCCTCTGAGGTAACATTGACTTAGTTAATGGACTCGATTTCGTTTTTGATATAAGCATCGATGTGCTCATCAGACTTGTAATCCTAGAGTCGAGGTAAAGCGGGAGAGGATGATGTCTGCAGTTCAGGATTATGTAACGTTAGAAATCTGCAAACCGCGTATTCATGAGGTCTTGAAGTTTCACAGTGGGAAACTGTAAGATCATGACTTTTTATATATAGAGTCTAAAAATGTTATAACGAAGAAAGTATGGGCGGCACGATGTAAAATTGGCTTCTTATTATATGCCTTACGGGTTAGGAGGTGGCCGTGTCCGAATTGATGTAGTGATTTGGTACGGGTGACTGAACTTGTCGATTAAAAAGACTTCTCTGAGTGAAGCCTAACTTTAAATCTAGACATTATTCGAATCCAGTGGTGCAGCGATTGTTAGCTCGCGTAAAAAGACACTTTTTTGTAGAAGATTTAGAGTTTAATTTATGATTGTCCTTTTGTACTCTGATAAGGATTTTAGGTCCTTTGCTTGTTCAGTCAATTACTTTTACGTGCCCTTAACTTGAGTCGGTGCCATTTTGCGATTCTGTCGTTTTACTGCCTAAGACTGAAGACTGTTGAACTTGACAATGAAGTTACTTTCTTATTCACACTTTTTAGCTGAAAGTTCTGTGCGTACGTGTATTTGAAGTAATTTAAGATTCTACTTTACTCTTTTGCAATTTCAATGGACTTATTTCTATAAATGATAAAAATGGAATAAAATGCTTGCAGATACAGTTGAGCCGTTGGAGGTCCCCTGACGAAGCAAGACTCGAACGCTACATGTGGGTTGCATTTCGTTTATACTTACTTTTAAATGGGCTTTTCTGATAATTCCAGGGACTGTTCATTGTAATCCCTCTGTTAGCTTTGTCATTTTATCTGTCTTTTACAACCTACTTTGACTAGAACTAAGTTCTTTTTTATTTGGCAACACCCTCACGCTAAAAACTCTTCTTTCTTTCCTTTTTTCTTCTATTTCTCCTTTCCTTTTTTTTTCTTTTTCAAATATGTCAGGCAGGCTGCGCGAGTTTCAAAGACTCCTTAAAATTTGATTTTTAAAGCTAGCTGGAGAAACTTGAGGTTTTATAAAACTGCATTTAGATGGATCTTGACTAGCCCCCATTTTATGAGATTTGAAACAAACGTCGTTCAGCCAACTGTTCTCGTAACGGGTCAAATTAATGATGTTCGACAAGATCATTGTTTAAACAACACAAATTTGGGGTAGTGCTATCGACGTACGTTCTCTCAGCTTTTTTTTCTCAATAATTTTAAAGCCCTCTGACATTTACGTCGCTGAACGCTAAACCTTTTCAGAAAACGACAAAAAGGTTTTTTTTTTTCTTGGAGTTTCACTGGAAGCACTTCACGTGCGCGATTAATAACTAAGTTCCCAAATTTGGAAATATATCCAGAACGGTACTGTACTGGACATTATTATTCAGTACAATAATCAGAAACATCTGTACAGCATTCAAAGATGTTCAATACACTTTCGAGATTTACTGAGTTTAAAACGCCGCTCAACCTGCCATCTCTTTCCAATCATATTTCTAGAGCATACACTGTCAAGTTGTCTCTCGTTCAAATTATTCTGCGCCTAAATTTCTTTGCTTTGTTCGGAACCCAGCAAATTTTCGTTTACTACCAGAAACTTCTTGTATTAGGTCTTGGAAAGCTAAAATACTTCAAAGCATAATTGGTGGCAGTCATAAATTGTCATCTTATACCACATGGCTGCTAGCATTTGCTTCCGTCCACTACAGCTTTCAGAGAGCAGATTATTTTTTTCATTGCATTTTTAATTGCTGATTGCAAATTGAGCACCTGTTTCTTTTATTCTTTACTGCCATCATCTCAGTTCAGTGTCCTATAATTGACATTTAAACAGCTTGTGCTGTTAGGAACCGTTTTAACAAAAACGGATCTTTCGAGAACTACTCCTATGATCAGAAATGACCAGCCCAAAATAATGTTCTAGTACCGCTGCTTTACGGGGTGTGCACAGCTCGCCCTCACCAGCCGTGCTGTACAAAACCGAGAAAGAGCAATTCCTTATCTTAGTAAAGTGACCATTTGAAAAAAAACATAAAAGTTGAACGAGCCATCTGATTATCTTCTGGCCTTGTAATTCTCCAGCTCTCCTCTGCTAAACAGCAAAGCCTACTCCGAAACGGAACCAGGGCGTGCGCGACAATCTGCAAAAGTTGCCGCCGTCTGTGCTACAAAACCAGCGTTTCCTAAAAAGATAAATGTACTAGTCTCAAGGAACTGGTATAACTTATTTGAAGCGCTGCTGTTGCAGTGATATTTTTCAGTTGCAGCTGCCTCGTGTTTCACCTTGAAGTCGAGCAGAAGTGCAGGCCTCTGTTTCTAATGCGTCGATATATAACAGATGAGTAGATCCAGATACGGGAACCATGGAAAAAACCCGTTTTTGGGAGCGCGGTGAGAAAAGGTAAAAAACTAAATGATTTCTTGGACTGAAAAGATTGCATCCGAGCCAGGCGATAAATTTCAATTTCCGCAAACGCGACGTACCAGCCCCACAAATACTTGAGTAAAAGAGCAGGACTTTCGAAGCTAATCCATGCAAATCTAAATATGGCATAGATCTTCTATTCCACCGCTTATCTTTATTTTTTTGAAATAACCTACTCAGAGTTCACGAAACATCTTTAAAAATTATAATTAAAATGTTGTGAATTAGGTGAGGGTTGCGAGATGTCTTTTTGTGCTACGGCCTATACCAATATATATTGGACTTCTGCGGCCGAAAAGCCCGCAAACTTTGTAAACAAGTCGTGAAATCAACAGTCTCCCATCGCATATGAAGGAAATCGGACTCACCTTTTCAAATTCCGCCAAAAGGCTTGGAGCGCCAAGCCCTAATCCGCAATGCCAAGGTCGGATAACAGAAGTGACTCAATAAATGACAATTCCCCCCCCACAGCTACTGCTAGGACGCACAAAAATAACTTCAGCAACGGTTATCGCGTCTTTGCTGAGCTGTCCTTCTCAGAAACCTAACGTTCAAGATATTCTGGCCGCCCTAAGGCACCTAACTTCATCAGGGAATTCCCTCGTCCAACCTTTTTTTCAACTCAGATAAGTGCCAAGTCCACCGGCAAACAGCAAAACCACAAAGACAACAAATCCACTATTCAGGGTGCACGTTACCGCTGGGTCCTCGGAAAATTACGTCTGAATCCCACATATAGCACGAGCACACCGAGGAAGCCAGAGTGCGACCACCGGTCATAGCACAAGCAACCAAGCGCACATTCCTGATTTCTCCACTTTGAAAAAAGTTGCCGACTCCCAAAAGACAACTATTCCCCGATGAAGGCTATCTGCCACCCAAACAGGGAACCCCACCTTACGTACAAAACGTTCACGCACGCTCGAGCCCTTCCAGCCGCCCCAGCACCGATCAAAGAAAGCAGATCCCCAGGAGAGACCCACAAGCCGCACGCAACCTTCCCCTTCCCCCACGCTACCAAAGCCGTCAACTCCCAGATGCTATCAACTGCGGCGCAAAACCACACTCGAACCCAAAACATGAACTGAACCTCACAAAACAACGGTAGGTTCCCTAACCTCCACATAATTATTTTCCGCTAAAAACTAATCAGTTCATCCCCACTTCCACACAACGTCCGACACATTACTTTTATTTCATGCAATCAACTGAACACAAACAAAAAACCAATCCAGTTAATGCAATTAAAAAAAAGAAAAATCATATGTGGGAAAACAGAGAACTCCACAAATTTCTCAAAATACCAGTAGCAGGAAAAAAATCCATATTAACAAAAAATATTGAGAGATCTTGTGGTAAGCGCAGGGCTTCAAATAGAAGCATCACTCCAAGAAACGACATCCAAGGACCAGATGAAATGCTATGTAATTTCCTTCAATGTGACCTTGGGGAGCTTAGCTTATTTAAAAGTACAAAGTGATAACCAACTTATATGGAAAATCAATTTTAGTCAACTTCCTCCATACGAGAAGCATCTTCATCAGCGCCAGCAAGATTTGGCACTGCCTCGTCCGCCTGGGCAGAACTAGATGCGATTGGCTCTTCCTCATCTTCCTCAGTGATATCCAGGCCAAGCTGAAAAAATTCTTTTGCATCTCGAGAAGCGACCACCCTACTCTCCTCAGAAATCAAGCGGCAACAGTTACCTTAATCATGCGGTAAATACGAGAAGCATGAAGTTGCGGCTCATCCAAACTAAATCCGGATGAGAGGAGTGCTGTCTCAAAAAGCAAAACCACCAAATCCTTGACAGTCTTGTCATTCTTGTCAGCCTCAACCCTGTCACGCAGTGTTCTGAAATAAAAAGAAGAAGGGTGACAAGGAGAAACCGCGCTAACTCCAGAAAAACAAGCCAAATAAAAGAAGTACTTAATGATAGAATGGTCCGGATTAATTTCCAAGTGCTTTTTCGCTGCCATGTAACCCATAGTTGATGAGTCACGAAGCGCTTGAGCCTTCATGATACGTTCCATATTTGCTGACCACCCATACTCAGACGTGACAATACAACATGGGGATGAAACAAGACGGTTCGAAACAACGACCTTCTCGACCTGTAAAATGAAATGATGTCAAAGCATCTTACACTCAAATGCTTGTACAATCCGCACCGATAAGTGCAAAATGCAGAAAATTCATTAAATTGCTAAGCGGCATTGTTTCCAAAAATTATTAAACCTTCTTCTCCAATATATCTTTGATGACTTTGCACAAGTTCTCGAACTTCACTTTGTCCTCCTCGTACTTCTTCTTCTCCTCTTCTGTCTCTGGCAGTTCAAGACCTTCTTTAGTAACAGAAACCAACTTCTTGCCGTCGTACTCTTTGAGTTGCTGCACGCAGTACTCATCGATGGGATCAGTCATGTACAAAACCTTAAAACACTCACTATTCACTGCAAAACAAAAACCTCACGACCTCCCAATGTTTCAACTCCTTACTTCAAATCCACGTCTTTTTACGCGCTCCACAAAAGCGGACGTAGCAACAGCCTCCTTCGACTCCCCAGTAATGAAATAGATTTGCTTTTGGTTCTCTTTCATCCTACTAACGTAGTCTTTTAGGGAAGTCGGCTCTTCTCCCGAGTTTGAGGAGTAGAACCGCAGAAACTCCGAAAGCTTCTTGCGGTTCGTTGAGTCTTCATGAATACCGAGCTGTAAAAAAATGGTAATAGCAGGATTGTCAACCTACAAATATGTCAACAAAACTAAAAAAGACTTACCTTGATGTTCTTTGAGAACTGTTCATAAAACTTCTTGAAATTATCCTTGTCCTCAGAGATCTCGTCGAAAAGTTCCAGGCATTTTTTCACCAAGTTCTTCCTAATGACCTTTAAAATCTTTGACTGCTGTAACATTTCACGCGAGATATTAAGAGGCAAATCTTCACTGTCGACTACTCCTTTTATGAAGTTCAAGTACTCCGGCATGAGCTCTTCACAATTTTCCATGATAAAGACACGCCTTACATACAACTGAAATAATAGTAACAATAGCTTTAACAGCCATTCAAACCTACCAGTGAAACTAAATTTTCCAAATATTTCAAACTAAAACTCAAGACCTCACTGATGCTGCAAAATATCATTAAGAACACCAACCTTTATTGCATTTTTGCTCTTTTTGTTTTCAAACAGATCAAACGGAGCACGCTGCGGAACAAATAAAAGTGCACGAAACTCCAATTGGCCTTCCACTGAAAAATGTTTTACAGCCAAATGATCCTCCCAGTCGTTTGACAATGACTTGTAGAATTCAGCATACTCATCGTTGCTTATATCATCTGGATTGCGAGTCCAAATAGGTTTCGTCTGAAAGTTCACTGCGTTCAAATAAAGCACACGACATCGGAAATGCCGCACTGCGAATCAAAAAACAACCAACCTTATTCAATTCCTCATCCTCATGATACTTCTCCTTTATCTTCTTCTTCTTGGGCTTATCACTACCCTTCTTATCTTCATCCTCATCTGCCCCAACGTCTTCAACTTCTCCCTCCTTCTTCTCCTTCTCTTCTTTCTTCTCCTCTTCCGCCTCGTCGTCCGATACTTCCTTTTCACGTTCTTTCTCAACAGTCTAAAACAAACTGCCAACATAAGGAACAAAAACTGATGTCACATCCTTTAAAACAGAAACGGCTGGGAGTATGTAAAACTCGTGAAAACTGACCAGTTTTATGGGATACCCGATAAACTGCGAGTGCTTTTTCACAATTTCTTTAATTTTTCGCTCCTCCAAATACTCAGTTTGGTCTTCTTTTATATGCAAAATAACTTTTGTACCACGGGTCAGCTCGGGATCGTTCACTTGGCGGATAACGAATGAACCTAAAATGAAAGACGAGTAAGAATAAGCTTAAGGATTTAGCGTAAAAATTACACACCACAAAAATTACCTCCAGCAGATGACTCCCACTGATAACAGTCGTCATCGTTGTGTTTCGATGTTACCAGTACTTTGTCCGCAACAAGGAAAGCCGAATAGAAGCCAACACCAAATTGACCAATCATAGAAATATCCGCACCAGCCTTTAACACAAACCAATATTAGAAAAAACGAAATCAATTAGAAATTTGCCTCCTTAAGAGAAAACAAGCGTAAAGTAAAATGATAATATCCTAGCTTTACCTGCAACGCTTCCATAAACGCTTTGGTGCCAGATTTTGCAATTGTACCCAAGTTATTGACCAGATCCGCTTTTGTCATGCCACATCCGGTATCCAAAACGGTCAAAGTCTTATCGGCCTGCAAAAACATTCAAATCACCAAATAACCCAATACGAAATTCCCCGCTCTAATGTGTGCATAACCGATCCCGAAAATTGACCTTATTCGGTGTGATCTTGATGAATAGCTCCTTTCCGGTGTCAAGTTCCGAAGGCTCGGTGAGAGCTTGGTAACGGACTTTGTCAAGCGCATCTGACGCATTGGAGATCAACTCACGAAGAAAAATTTCTTTGTTACTGAAAGAACGTCACATAGTTTATAGAAAAAAAAAAATGGCTTCACCTTCCAACAACTCTGTCAACCAGTCAACAGTAAAGGCCGTTAGCACCTGACTTACAACAAAAACTGATGGATAAAAAAAAGTATAGAAAACATCGCAACTATTTACCTGTAGAAAGTATTGATAATAAGGCTCATTAACTGAGCAATCTCAGCCTGGAATGCGAATGTCTCGCCCTCTACTTCAGACATTTTTGATACCACAAATAAGGCAGAAACCTACAAAAGCAAAAAAGCAAGATTCATGTCAGAAAATTGTCGCCACGAGTACGACATTCGGGCCAGCAAAGCAAAAACGCTCGAAACAACGAGCAAGGAAGTCCGAAAAGAACTTTAGGCACATAAGATACCAAAAATTAATGCCACTGAAACTGAAGAACAAAGAGACAGTCTTCCAAATTCCAAAGACCTAACAGTCACCAAAATCCAACCGCACTATAATTCTGCAAATTCATACACTAACCAAATGGCCGCAACCAACGACCATCATCCAAAAATCACCAAAAAAAAAACGTTAAAAAAACAACAATAGCCTACAACACGCCTAAGTTGAAAAAAGTCAGGAAGAGTGACTGAGAACACCGAACCTCAAGAACATGCATATATACAATAGAACACTACTGCGCACGAAATCTGTTCGCAGCGAAGCAGCCGAATCATCGAGTACGACGTCAGGGTTTGATTATGCAGAGGGATACCTCGCAGTTTTAAACTATTCAGCATGGAATGTTCGCGAAATGGGCGGAGCACCGTATCTGCCAACTGCAGCGGCAGCACTTTATAGAGGGCTAGGCATAGACTGGAAAGGGGAGGGGGGAGGGGAAGGGGGAGAAGCGCGCGTTCGCGAAGAATTTTCCCGAAAGAAATTGGCAAATTTAATTTTAGCAAATAGGAAATCCTAAAGTGCTTGTGTGCTTGTGCGTTTTTGTGTGTCTGTCCATACATATAGTGCGTAGAAGTATGTTTGCGTTAGGTGCTGATGATTTTTCTAGAATATTCTAGCAAATTTTATGTTTCGAAAGCACCCAAGGAAAGCAATTTAGCATTCTCTTGTCTAGCCACAGGTCTTTTTTTTGCTGGCTGGAATAGATCACCTAATTAGTCGCACTACATTCAGAGCATCACTTAAAGAAAATGACAGGAACAAGAAAAATTGGCATCATTGGAGTTAATAGTTGGTGTTTTCTTGGAATTCTTATGTTGACACCGATAATGAACAGTGTTCCTTTGCTATTTTGGTAAAGATTTTGTTAGTTTATTGGTCTGGTAGCATGCGGTGGTTTTTTTTTACACCGCAATTAGTGTAAACTTCCCACAAGATTGACTATTTTTTGACTTGTTTTGATCTGAAGGGGGTTTTGGAACTTTCAGTTTAGTGTGTAATACTGTGAGCAGTTTTTTTTTTTTTTTTTTTTTTTTTTTTTTTTTTT